TAAACGCTGCGCATTCCGTTTACTCTGCGGTGTTAGTTTATGGACCAAGTTTTAAGACAATATTTGGCTGCATCTCTCACTCGAGTAACATTGATCGAACTTCGTACAAGGTTCCCCCCGAAGGTTTTCTTATCTCATTCGCGAAAGAACCGTGGAATACAATATCGAGACGCGTTTAGTCCCTGCAAGTTTGTCGCAGAAATTCCAATTCCGGCCGTTCGTTGCTGGCGCGTCGCCCAGACGAGAACTTTCGCTCCGCCGTTCTCCGCAAAAAATTCTGCAGCCGACGAAAAACTATCGATCCGTCGAGATCCGAGAAAGAGGAGGAGGAGACCGGTCGCGGTGTCTCGGATTTTTAATGAAACATCGAGAACACGCGCGTGCGGAGCTCGCACGGCTGGAAACTGTTAAGCCGGGACGGGAGCTTATTAGACGAATGGCGAACCGTGCGGCAAACTGCGCGGCCGGCAGCTAACAGTCAGCAAATAAGGAAACTCCTAACGCGTTACTCCCAAGCCGGCAACTAAAGATCCGGATTTTGCGCGAGCCAGCCCGGGATTAGATCCTAGATTTGGCGCGCGCCCGAGTTATTCCAGCCAAGAAACCCGACCGCTAAAGGGTTCCTGTTTGCCCAACGATAACCGTCGGAAACGGCTCGGTCCCCCTGCCTCGCTATTGCCGCGTTCCCTCGGCTATTCTCTGCTTTCAGCTTCGACGTTCGACACGCTTCTTTCACCGGGGCTGCGGTCTCGAAAGCTCTTTTTTTCTCCCCTCTCTCTCCGCGGACCTTGACTTCAACCGCCTCCGCCCCAGGATCCTTTCAGCCCGGCGGAATTTTCCGTTTTAATAACCTCGTATTTCTCCGTGCTCGCGCCGCTTTAGTCTACTTCCATCCGTTTATGGTCGTTGGTGTCTCGATGCGCAGCCTTAGCCGCGTGTCTTGATCCTCGTTCGCGGTTTTATGCGGCCGCGGTTCGTAAACGGTGTGTACTTTTCGCGCGCGCTAAACTTCCCGCTTCGCTCTTTATCGGTCGTCTTTTTTCTACCGGATGATATCGTTATTATTACCGGCTTCTCCGCTCGATATCTCGATATCTTTCAGCTTGGCAGCTCGGATGCATCGACTGCGATTCGTTCCAGCGACGAAGACGACATCATTGTCGCCTCTATAGACCGGTAACTTTTCGGCTGCCGATAGTATAGCTGGGGCAGGGGGAGCTTTCGGGGCTATTGTCCGCCTTCCCCGACGTTAATGGAAACAATTTGATCGGCGAGGGGCGGCCGTATCGAATACGCGCGGAATACGGAACAGAATATTACGCGGACTTACGGTTCAATCTCCGCGGCTTCCGGGGAATCGTTAAGATCGCGGCCGTATGATTGAACGGAGCCGTGGATCCTCCCGGTAAGCTTCTTACTTTATTCGGGAACAAAAATCGGCGCGCAACGGGAGCAGATAACGCGGCGAGCCCGTGATCCTTCCCCTTGAGGTTTTTAAAGCCGTTACTTTCTCTCTCCTTTTTCGTCTCGGCTGGAAAAAGCGACGAAAGCGCGCGCGGCATGCGACGCCCGTGCCAGGGGAATTAAAGCTCCGACAACGGGGAAAAGGAGCGAAAGGAGCGGAAATCAAAAGGAAAGTTTCCCCGAACGGATTCGCCGTTACCGTCCCGTCCCGTCCCGTTCCGTCGCAACTTCTCGAACACGAGGATCACCCTCTTTCGCTCGCAACCCCGAGCCATGATAACTCGAATCTAATTCCAGTTTAGTCTCGTTGCGGCCGACGCGTCGTTGCAACCGCGGCTAATTATCTGCCGCCGTTGCGTCGCCGCGGCTATAGAAGCGCCAAGTTCCGCGAAAGTATGCGAAGAACGTTCCCCACGGGTTTGCTAGAACGTCTCGCGAGGCTTTCCGCTCTTGCTGTTGTTTTTTTCACCAGCGGTCATTTCGGAACTCGAAACGTTCCCGCTATCTCGGCGATAGCTGCGACACGCGATACTCTAACACGGATGAGCTTTTAATACACGGCCGGCGTGTTTTGTCGAGCAGCGCCGCCCTTAATCCGCTTGTCCGTGGAAGTACCGACGAATCCTTTATCGCGTAACGAACTAAATGCTAACTACCGCCGAGTATTATTCGCGTTTCCAGCGAATCTGCGGATTCGCCGAACGCCTTTCTATTCGAAGATGGAACATCGTTTACCTGCCCGAGCTAGAGAGAACATCGTTATCGACCGATTCTCCTGCCCTAACCCTTGCATTTCCTAAACACCTCGGAAATGCCGACACTCCTAGGACTAGCTATGATTGCGCGCTTTTCGCGGGCCAAAAAGATGACAACCGGGCCGGCCTAGAAATCAATTGGTCGCGGTGCCAACAAGATCGAGTGGAGAACCATGGTTCGACGTTCGCCGGTTTAGCTGGCTCAGAATCTGGACGGTGGTTTGCGGATTCAGCGACCGCGACGGGACAAAAGATCGATGGGAAATGAGAATAACGTATCCTTGACCTTCGTTCGATTCGGCCATCGCGTGGATGAACGCCAAACGAATCCGGTTGTCACCGTGACATAGTGAGACGCGTCGAAGGGCTTTTCGTTCGGTCGCGCTTCCCGGCGGAAAGCGAAACCCGTCGAGAACGGTTAATTTTCGGCACAGAATTACGAGCTGGATCGCCTCGGATGATCAACGATTCAGAGGTTTTCGTTAAGAAAGACAGGCGCGTTTTCTAGCGTGCGAAAAAAGACGAAGATGCGACGGGGATTGGCGAATCGAGGAACAGCGAGCGAAAGAAGTTTGCTGCAAAAGGGCACGAGCTCCTGGATCCACCGAATCTATTTATCGAATCGATACCGTGTGCCACCGAGCACGCGCCGCGATATTGTTATGCAATATGGCTCGCGGATGCACGAGCTGCAGCATGCCACGTAAATGCAATATTTGGCCCTTCGCTCTCGCGGCCGTCTCGAACGCGGAAGTCGAAAATTCGATTCGAGTGTTTCTTCGAGGAAGTTTACACACAGGTTGCTCGAGAGAAACTCGAGGATCGATCTAATAAAGCCGGAATAATCCCAGCGAAGTAAAATCGTCGAGCGTCGCGGAGATGTTTTCGCAGTCGATGCGATATCGCCGCGTAAATAAACGCGGACGGCGTCGTTCCGGCTCTAAGCCGCGTTAAAAATTGCCCGCGCGTTGCGGAGCAGGGTCGGGAAAGATTCTTTACCGTATTAGGAGGTGTCATCCGAGGAAAATGGAAAGTGCGGCGGCGTGTTCCGGCCGGGAAAGACCGGACACGTCTTCGGGAGAAAATTGATTTTCCCCGAGGAGAAGCGATCGGTGTTATTCCTTCTGGAATTTCTGGAGCTGGCCGTCGAGCGCTTTCACCGACGGAAGTCGAGAGTCGAGAGTCGCGACCGAGGAAAAAGCGGCTTTATTATCGCAGCCGTCGCGCGAGTGAATTCGAAACGAGCTCGTCGCGGCTTGGAAGAGCTTCCTCGAAGAGAACACCTTCTCCTCTTTACTGTTCCCTTACCGGTGACCGCGACAATTACCCGATCACCGGTGAAAATAGCGGCGGCCGCGACAACGGGGTGCCATCTCGCGATTTCTATTTCACGCGGCGCGGCGGGGCGCGGCGGGGCGCGGCGCGGCGTCGCGTCAGGGTGTCGGGGAATAACGATGACCAATGCGACGAGCAAAGAAGGAAACCGTGCTTTTCCATTTCCTCTCAATTTCCGGCGAAGAGTGCGCCGTTAGAAAGTTTCCAATCGTTCCCCGCCGTTCGTTATTGGGGACTATCGCGCGTACCTCGCACACGGTCGGGGGCATTAAATCGATCGGTAAGTAATAACTTATTGAATTCGGCGACCGTGGCCGAAGGCACGACGTGCCTCGACTTCCAACGGTTTCAACGACCGGGAACAAAGCGCCGTTCAAAAACCGTTTCCGCGCCTCGTCCGACGACGATTCGCGGACGGTCGCGGCTCGCTGGCGAGAATACGCGAGAAACATTATTTTTCTACCTCGAAGGGGATTAGGTAAGTCACGGACAGACGGACGGCTCGTTCTTCTCGGGAACGCGAGCCGGCGAGAACATATTTTTCGGTTGATTTTTTCGAGGATACTCTTCACGGACACCGTACGCGCGCGCACGGTTATGCTAGCCGTAGGTCGACCGCAAAGTTGATTTATCCCGATATAAAGTGTAAACGGTGGAAACCGATGAAAATATTGAATATAAACTTTTAACGGTGCTCGCTGACGGCATTGTGCCGATTGGCCGACCGAATTTGATTCATCCGGCCGTAGCGCAGCGAGCAGAATATACGTATAAAAGGATTAAAAGTACCGTCGAGCGGCGAAGCTCCCGCGCATTACCCGCGTGCTTTATACGGCCGACGCGCGATCGCGATCACCGTCGGAATTCGGGTCGATCGAATCGCGATCGTTTCCCAATCGGGAAATGGATCGACCCCGTCGTTGTCCCCGCCACGGCAAACGGAAAAATCGATGCGGCTCGGGTGATCGCGACGAGGCCTCCGCCTCTGTTTTCCTCGGTAACCGAACGTGAAATATTAAATTCCGCGCGATCCGATATATCCGCGGATATCCCTTTGAGGGAATAAGAAATTACCGGACGGATCGCGACCCTTTAGCAATCCGGGGAACGTCGCGCGACGCGTCGCGTCGGCTCGTTCCGAACGGTTTGCCTCGTCGGTTAAACGGCGTTTACAGGTTAGCAGCCGTTTTAATTGGAATATCGCTCCTGAACCGATACTCTTTATTATTACCTGTTAGGAAATACCGATGCCGGCCTGCTGTTCACGGGAACAGGAATTACCGGCGAACGAAATCGATCGGCACCGAAACGAGGCGAGGCGAGGCGAGGCGAGACGAGGAGCCCCGACTATTTAATCCTCGATCCTTAAAACTATTTAAGAGGAAGAGCCATCGGGCCCATCTTCGCGCGCTCATTAGCCGAGCTAATGGACTTGTCTCCACTTACCTGTAGGTAATGAAGGCGAAGACCAGCGCTACGAGGGACAAGCTTCCGCCTAGGACGACGATGAGACTCAAAACGCCGTCCTGATCGAACGAGCTGGCGATTCCCGTGGAAATTCCATTAGCGAGGCCGCCGTTGGATTGGGGATGCCCGTGGATCGCTCCCGTGTATAGCGTCTCCATTCTCTTCGCTACACTCGCATCTGAAATCGGACAATTAACTGGAATCCTTTCTTGCCCGGTGTTTTCGTTCCGTCGTGGAAACGCCCGCGCCCGAGCGGGCAGCGAGGTGGAAAATTAAATGTTGCACCGTTAACTCTCTCTCTCTCTCTCTCTCGCAAAACGGAATCTACTCGCGAAATTCCGTGCCGCGTGGTTCGGCGATGCTCGATGTTTGCGCAAATTTAATTATGCAACCGTGTATTTTTGTCCGGAATTTTCGGTGGTCGTCGACGCGCAGGTACTATTTATTGTCGAGGCGTGATAGAAACGGTGAATTAGCCGCGATCGGAAAGTAGGCCAAATCAAGAGCAAACAACAAGCTGTACACGCAAAGCGTTCGAATTATAATCGACGCGGTTGCAATTTTCGCGATTCCAATTCGCGGGGGAATTTGCCGTTCGAATGTTTCACTGTTTTAACCCCTCGCGCGCTCGAACGGCGACTCTGAACAGCATCGATCGAATTTACCATGATTTATTCCGAACGATGTTTACTAAATTTTGTTCTCATTTGATGAAAAAAATCGCGAAAGAATAGAAATCTTCGAGATCGGCAGAAACGTCCGGAGTTCCGGAATGAAAATATCTTCGTGTGCGAAGGATTAATATTTTGGAAGCAATACAATAATGTCTCTCTAATTGACGCTTAGATTGTCCACGAAAACGAGTAATTCGGGGAGAGGAGATGCGATTATCCGAGCTTTGCGGCTCGTTTTTATAATTGTTGACAATTTATAACTATAAAAACAAACCGAAAGGCTCGAATAATCGCATCTCCTCTTCCCAAATTGTCCATTTTTTGTCACCTTTGGTCGACCTTATTCTCCTCGATTCGCGATTTCCAAGGGAAAGAAACCGCGCGACCGGGAAAATCGCGAGGATAAGTTCGAATCGAAACAGACCGGAACGGATTGGAACGGGACGAGACCGATATTTTTTCGCAGCATGACACCTGGGAAATAATTTCATTCGGAGGGTGGCGGCGGCACGGCGGCACGGTGACAGGGTCGCGCGGGAAGAGCAAATTGAAACAGGCCCGGTAATTTCCTGTAAAGAGGCGAATCAAAATGGCGTCCAGGCACCGCCGGCCGCAAATTGCGGCCTCCCCCGGCCGCCCCTAGCCCCGTCGCAAATTCCCAGTAATGCAGTGCATTTGTAGCTGTCGCGTAATCATCATTACGCCAAGCAAATGCTACGGTTAATTGTCGCGTCGAAGAGCGCGCGCCAACGCNATTGGGGATGCCCGTGGATCGCTCCCGTGTATAGCGTCTCCATTCTCTTCGCTACACTCGCATCTGAAATCGGACAATTAACTGGAATCCTTTCTTGCCCGGTGTTTTCGTTCCGTCGTGGAAACGCCCGCGCCCGAGCGGGCAGCGAGGTGGAAAATTAAATGTTGCACCGTTAACTCTCTCTCTCTCTCTCTCTCGCAAAACGGAATCTACTCGCGAAATTCCGTGCCGCGTGGTTCGGCGATGCTCGATGTTTGCGCAAATTTAATTATGCAACCGTGTATTTTTGTCCGGAATTTTCGGTGGTCGTCGACGCGCAGGTACTATTTATTGTCGAGGCGTGATAGAAACGGTGAATTAGCCGCGATCGGAAAGTAGGCCAAATCAAGAGCAAACAACAAGCTGTACACGCAAAGCGTTCGAATTATAATCGACGCGGTTGCAATTTTCGCGATTCCAATTCGCGGGGGAATTTGCCGTTCGAATGTTTCACTGTTTTAACCCCTCGCGCGCTCGAACGGCGACTCTGAACAGCATCGATCGAATTTACCATGATTTATTCCGAACGATGTTTACTAAATTTTGTTCTCATTTGATGAAAAAAATCGCGAAAGAATAGAAATCTTCGAGATCGGCAGAAACGTCCGGAGTTCCGGAATGAAAATATCTTCGTGTGCGAAGGATTAATATTTTGGAAGCAATACAATAATGTCTCTCTAATTGACGCTTAGATTGTCCACGAAAACGAGTAATTCGGGGAGAGGAGATGCGATTATCCGAGCTTTGCGGCTCGTTTTTATAATTGTTGACAATTTATAACTATAAAAACAAACCGAAAGGCTCGAATAATCGCATCTCCTCTTCCCAAATTGTCCATTTTTTGTCACCTTTGGTCGACCTTATTCTCCTCGATTCGCGATTTCCAAGGGAAAGAAACCGCGCGACCGGGAAAATCGCGAGGATAAGTTCGAATCGAAACAGACCGGAACGGATTGGAACGGGACGAGACCGATATTTTTTCGCAGCATGACACCTGGGAAATAATTTCATTCGGAGGGTGGCGGCGGCACGGCGGCACGGTGACAGGGTCGCGCGGGAAGAGCAAATTGAAACAGGCCCGGTAATTTCCTGTAAAGAGGCGAATCAAAATGGCGTCCAGGCACCGCCGGCCGCAAATTGCGGCCTCCCCCGGCCGCCCCTAGCCCCGTCGCAAATTCCCAGTAATGCAGTGCATTTGTAGCTGTCGCGTAATCATCATTACGCCAAGCAAATGCTACGGTTAATTGTCGCGTCGAAGAGCGCGCGCCAACGCGAACGCCAACGTTTTAGCGGAACAGTCCGGCTCGTGTTCCGCGAATTTTGCTCCAATTGCCCGGTCAACTGTTGCCGCTCGCGAGCCGTCGATCGCGATTTACGAAGCCGAAAGTTACGCGCGAATTTTCCGCGATTTTTTGTGACGCTGGAATTTGCCCGTAGGGTCGGAACGATTTGCCTCGCGTTCTCTCTCTCTCTTTCTTTCGGTAATGCCGATTCATTTGGAACAATATTTAGCAGACTCTGTACGAGACCTCCGAAATAAGATGCCGTCGAGGATATTCGTTGAACGAGCCGATCCAAGCGTTAAATTCAAAATGGGAGACGGCGCGGCGCGTTGTTCGCGAAACGCGGTTACGCGGCGAGTCGAAATTGCTCGGGGAAAAAATGTAATTGCCTCGAAAGTGGCGTCGCGGGACAACGAGGGGGGACAGAACAAGCTTCGTCGATACGTGTTCGTGTCGCGCGAGAGAAGTATTTTTCCTCGTATTTCCTCCGACTTAGTTACGAGCGAGAAACTTATCGCGGAAACCTGCGCGCGGACCGGTCGTCCGCGAGCGAACGACTTCTTCCCGGCGGGGGCGGGATACGTCGGAAATCGTAATTCGGCCGTAGCGAATCCGATATAGGTTCAACTTTTTATTTTCCTCGAGAACAATAGCGTGCTCGATAAAACTTATCGTATTTTTCGGAGTCAGCTCCGTAAAAGAGACGATCGGGGGGAAAGGCTCGAAAACAATTTTACTCGACTTTCTCCCCGCATCTACCCCCTCGCGCGGGCAAACATTATTTCCCGTGTAATTCGCGACGACAGGAAATCGCTCGTTCTATTACAGGGACGACGGCTCGTACGTGTCCGCGCTCATCCCGGTTTTTACCGTTCTGCAAAAAGATGATCGCCGCTGTTACGTCGCAAAGCGCGAATTCGCGCGGCCGTGTGTAAAACTAAAAAGGATCGACAACCCGAGAGCACCTCTTTTTTGCCGCGCCATTATTTTTGCGAGATAGACGACGAGGCTCTCGCGACAGAATCTCGTCGATCGAGCGACGGAACACGGGTTGTTTTCCTTTTTGTAACCATCGGGCTCGCGCGCTCCGAGTGTAAGTCGAACGATCGACAAACATCCCCGCCGCGCCGATCGGTCCTTCACGTGTGTGGTACGTGTGTTTTTCTATCTGGTTTTGCACATGGATTCGGCACTCGTTAAATATAGTGACCTTATCGCTTCGGTTTCCAGCTCGATTCACGAGAACGCTCGCCGCGGCCCATCGGAAATAAACTGCCGGTGCCGGTGTCGGTGCCTGCGCGTCTGTGTCGGTGTCGGTGTCGGTGTCGGTGTCGGTGTCGATGCACCGAGCCATACCGAGAGCCGGTGCACACTCTTTTCTACTCGTTAATGGTTCCGCTAATGCCCGGCCACTTGCCATTTACCTCCATGAACCACACTCTATCCGAGTTACTTTTCGCATCGAATAGCACCCGAAATGCGCGACGATACCCAGGCCCGGATACGCTACGTCGCAATTTCCATCGATCTTCTCGCGAACTGGGACCAGAATCGTTCTTGGGAATCATTGGCGAACTTCGACAAATGCGCGAGAACTTCAGCGGGTTTTTTTTCTCGCTGTGAAACACCTTCGATCAAGGGCGTCATCGTCGACGCGCGAGTCCGATAATGTCTCTCTAATTGACGCTTGGATCGTCCACGAAAATGGACGATTTGTGGAGAGGAGATACGATTATTCGAGCCTTGCGGTTTATCGTTATTGTCAACGATTATGTCAGGGTTATGCAAGGCTCGAATAATCGTGTCTCCTCTTCCCAAAATTGTCCATTTTTCTGGGAGACATTACTGTAATTCGATCGAATCGTAACGCGCTTTAATTTAACCCTTTGCCATGAAATATCGAATCGCGAACTCGGGCCGAAGATGGCAAGAATTTTCTGGATATGAATTCTATTACACTGGAACCACTCCAGATGGGTGAAAACGACTGGTTTCAAATTCTTTTCTTTTTTACTGTTACCGAAATTATTGAAGTACGTGCAATTAATCTGAACGGAGAAGCGTTAATCGTTGTTACCGTAAAGTCTAGGTGCAGTCTAGGTACCGAAGAACAAGAGAACAATGAAAATAGACCGGAGAACGAAGACATCGTCGAAGAAGAAGAAGAATCGGAAAAAAGTATAATATGTAGAATGAGAAATTGGATGGCAGAACGGAAGACTTGAAAAAGGAATGGCAACGGGTGTCCCGAATACGAGGCGATAAATCCTACGACATCCAAATCTTGATAACATTTTCTCTTTTCCATAGAAATGTTCCNCAATTTGAGAACAGGAGATACGATTATTCGAGCCTTGCGGTTCATTTTCATAGTTACGAATTGTCAAGATTATGTCAGGGTTATGCAAGGCTCGAATAATCGTGTCTCCTCTTCCCAAAATTGTCCATTTTTCTGGGAGACATTACTGTAATTCGATCGAATCGTAACGCGCTTTAATTTAACCCTTTGCCATGAAATATCGAATCGCGAACTCGGGCCGAAGATGGCAAGAATTTTCTGGATATGAATTCTATTACACTGGAACCACTCCAGATGGGTGAAAACGACTGGTTTCAAATTCTTTTCTTTTTTACTGTTACCGAAATTATTGAAGTACGTGCAATTAATCTGAACGGAGAAGCGTTAATCGTTGTTACCGTAAAGTCTAGGTGCAGTCTAGGTACCGAAGAACAAGAGAACAATGAAAATAGACCGGAGAACGAAGACATCGTCGAAGAAGAAGAAGAATCGGAAAAAAGTATAATATGTAGAATGAGAAATTGGATGGCAGAACGGAAGACTTGAAAAAGGAATGGCAACGGGTGTCCCGAATACGAGGCGATAAATCCTACGACATCCAAATCTTGATAACATTTTCTCTTTTCCATAGAAATGTTCCGAGATAACCGGCCAACGAAGCGATCATTGCCCGTGGAATAAATATCGAGGCGCTTAGCTACAATGAACCGGTGATTTCGATGGCCGAAATATATAAACCGTCGAAACCGTAAAATTCTCTCGTAATTCTCGCTCAACGTGTGAACAGAATTTGGGAAGCGGGGACACGATTATTCGAACCTCGCGGCTCGTTTTTATAGCAGCTGATAATCCGCGACTATAAAAACGAGTCGCGAGGCCTGAATAATCGTGTCTCTTCTTCCAAAGTTCTGTTCACACATGAGTGACAATTGGAAAGAATTTACTGTACTTATTTACAAGCGAATGCGTTAAGAGAATTTGCTTATCGCGGATATCAATATCGCGCGGCTCCAAATTGAATTTCCCTAGGTGCGAATTATTATAACTTTTATTTTCCGAAGATACCTGTGGCGCACCGATTACTCGACGTTTATAACAAAAATCAGTAGATCAAATACTAAATACTCGAGACATTTAAAGAGTTTAAAAATGCTATCTCGCATTGTTTTTAATTCATCCGAATGATTCAGAGACGAGATAAATATACGGCTACTATATCTCGCAAATAGTGCAAGCAATTTTTATTGTAAATGGCGACGGTAATGTAAATGGCCACCATATTGTAAATGGTCTCCATGTTGTAAGTGCGCAGTATAAACGGATACCTGGTTGCCTAAGCAAGGGGTAACGCGTAAATACGCTCGTGCTACTGTTTCAAGATTTAAATAAACCGTCTCGTTATCTATTCTAATCTAAAATTCATATAATTCTAATATAAAATTGATACAATAAGCAGATATGTATATGAAAAACTAGGCCCCTCTTGGAGGTTAATCCGAATCCCGCGGTACAGTCGTGCATCGAAATATCGCGAAAAGTCACGTTCATCGAACGAGTACGATCTGAAATATAATATAATATACGGATAACACACGCACAGAAATATAATAGCGACTTACCTCAGCGGGCAACGAGACGCTCGAATGGTCGGCGAATATTCGAAGACCGGCCGACGACTTTGCGAAGCATGCCAGGTTCCCTCGAGAGAACCACGTGCCGGCCGGACACGTGCTCGAAGGCGAGAAAACTCAACGATAAGCTGAAGAGGCCCGAGTCGCGAACGAACGCGAAACCGAAATCGGAACCAAAACAAAGGCCCTGAATAGAACTGTCACTGTCGGTCGCGTTGTTCCTCGTTCCTCGCGTGCACTCTACTACACGCCGCCAACGCCAACATCCTCGTCTCGCGACAGCGTGTTCGCCCCCCCTCTCCCGCGCTCCCACAATCGATCTCGCGACCAAAGCTAACGCGATATGCACGATCGCTTTCGTTTTCGATATAGTTTTCCTTTCCGCTTTAATTAACGCGTTCACGTTTTCCTCTCCGTTACAGACGCTGACGCTCCTCCGCGATTAATGCGCGATCGACTACTCGGTCTACTCCCTCGATATTATCGCTCGATCGACCACTCATCGTGTCCTCTCGCGGCTACCGGTCGCGATCGACTGCTCGCTCTACCCGCTTGAAATTATCGTTCGATCGACCATTCATCGTATCGTTTCGAGATTACCGAAGGCGATCGCTATTAATTTGTTCGTGAGATTGTTCCTCGAGAATATTGCTCGATCTACTACGCTGTCAACGATCTTACCGCCGAAGGTTGAAAAATCGTCGATGCAATTCGAAATCTAACCTCCCGTTTCGGCCGGTTTTTCGTATCCTCGACGATGTCCAACCAACGCAACGGTTGAATGACAGTTCGACGAGATCACGCTCGCTGTCGTTCGATCACCAGTGCCATCGTTTCGGTCGATCCTGGATGACGACGACGACGACGACGACGTTCGACAGGCCCCTTCATTTACGCGTCAATTGCAAAGACGTTCTATTTTTGTTGCACATGTAAGATGTATCAACGAAATGTTTGCAAAGAAGATGCACTTGGTTGGCTAACGGGCAGTCGCGAGAAATTAGACAGCGCGGATTCTAATTCGTTGGAGAGTGTCGCACGGAAGGGAAACGACACGTACGAACCGGTCGAGCGACGGCGCCAAACTGCGAGCGACGGTTGTTCGCGCTCAAGATCTCCGCGCACTCCGTCCTGCGCATGTACCCAAACAATTGGACGGCGGAGAGAGGACCGCGTCGTTTCTGATTCGTCGAGAGAAGAACGAGGCGTGGAATGTCGTTACTTTGAATGCTACACAAATAAATACATCAAATGCGTATAAAACTCAACCTTTCTTTTCTCCCGGATGACTTTGATTTTTGTCGGCATGTATCTAAATGGTAATTCTAGGATTTCCATTACGATGCTGTCGTCCGCGTTTCATTCTGCCGTTTGTTCGCATTCGTGCTCGCGTGCGATCTTTATCCTTATCGATTTCTTATTCGTGCACATGCTTTCCCGGTCCAACATCGATCGTCCGAGTGAAATGAATTTTATACGATAAGTATTCAAAATTAACTTGTTTAGAACTGCTTGGACTGACAAACTCGAATTCTTGTATCTACAGGAGGAAGACAACAAAGACGTCGCTCACCTAAACAATGAACCTCGGACAGGTATTCGTTAATCGAGGATGTAACGTGACGGAGTCGCGAATCGAGGATCCCATTCGTCTATAGAGCATCATCGATACACATTCGAACAATTGAAATTTTGGTAAGTACATACGTATTCCATTGTATCTCGATCCATAATTTTCTATTCTTTTACATAACACAAATAATTTCATTGATCGTTCCCCAACATTTTAATGTACGCGTGTCGGTTCGATATATTAATTGCGACCGATCACGAAGCGCGTTTCAAACGATTTGAGACGATTCCGCGCGCAAAGGGTGATCCGAAATGTCGTAAATATGAACAAGTCCAGGGGATAAAAATAACGAAACAATTTTTTATACATTCAACTGTCTCGGTATAAAATATAACAAGTAACGAATATCGCCGCGAGGCTATTCAATTTTGGTACAGGAAGTGGAGAGAGCGGAGAAAGTTGGACGTTTGTTTAAAAAACAAATCTTTGTTTATTTCACATTTCGTACATGCATAAAGTTAAAATCTGGTTCTTAGCTAGAAAAAATACGTATTCGATGAAATAAAACCGAAGAGTTTATTTATAGAAACAACTTCAGATCTACGAGCGAGTAGAAACGTTTAGTGCGATTCTTCGCACGGTTCAGATACAAAATTAATGGAATTTTCAACGTTCCAATCCTCTTTCCATAATTAATTCTTCTATATCGACATCCAGGGATGTTGAAACGGTTTTCAATAGATCGCAATTCCTTCTGTCAATTTACATTTACTCAATACAATGTAACGGCAATTCTCAAAAATTAGCTATTTCCGTCTTTAAGTTAGTTAATTTACAAAAATTTACAATTACGATTATCACAACAATTGTATTATTCAGCTCCTACTGACCAAGGCTTGCAGGCGTAAGTCGTGTTCTTTTCGATCATTTAAATTGTCTCAACGTTTCGCTAACACCGATATTACACCACCACGATAAGAAAACATTGAGAACACATTTTCGGAAGGACACGATCTACTCTGTTGGGTTTAAAACCTCGACAAGAGAAACTGTACAATGCCATTAACACTTTATTAACCTGTTAACCGGGCGATTGTCTAAAATAAAACTGAATGAGGCACGTAAATGTAATCTAATTTGTACCATCGTAGACGTTTCGATAAAATCGGGTCCCGAAATTCTGTCAAAGAACCAAAAATAAATGAAAATAAAAACGTTGAGTCATGTATGTACTCTCCCGGTCAACAGATTACTGCGCGATAAAAAATCTATAACCAAGGTCGAACAAAGACGATCAGTCTATAGGGCTATAGTCATTCGGAAATTCTATGTTGTTATATGTTTCTGCTATCCATCCGAGCAAGTATTTCATTTTTTCTGTGGCATCGTCCGAGGCTCTGAAATCCGCGATCGCCTCCGTCAAGCATTTCGAAAGATGTTTCAGTACAGGCTGGAAAGAGAAACGTAGATGTTTTTGTACCGGTCAACCGATTGATAGAATAGAAAGAAAAGAGAATATTTACCACAGGCCAGTCCTGCCTAAACAATGCGACACACTGATCACTGAAGCGGTCAATGTCTAGAACACCCTTTACTATTAATTTCTTAATAAACTTCCCGAAAACTGACCACACGTAATCCTTTTGCGGTTGCGCTAACAACATAACGTTCCGAGGGCAAAATATTCTGTATATAGGAGAATCCAGTTCCAAAGACTTCCAACGATTCATCGACCATATCTTGATGAATTTGTCTTGAATCTTTTCGACGAACAAATCGCTCCGATACGCAACTGTGAATAGAGATTATACGCTATAAAGGTATATGTATGCACACACACACAACGAACGGTACTTCCAAGTTAGTAGACTCGTACTTAACAACAAAGCAAAATCCGTGCTGAGAAAGTACAACACTTTCTCTGCGCCTGCTACGAGATCGGCTCTTTCGGTTAAAGTTTGATACAAGTTGTCCAATGTGGTCGACACTGTTGTCATTGTTAAAGAATCTCCACCATTATCCAGTATGTCCCACATAAGCTCCTAGACAAATAAATTAGATTACAAAGAACACCGTTTCCTAATTTTTTATATAATCCGGAAAGTTTTCACCGCGTATACGTACTCTTAAATCATCCGTAGTGGTGGTCGGACAAACAGCATTCGGATTATGTTTAATCTCTTGAATCTCGCGCAACTGTGAATTATTCTTTAACAATCGATTTAACTCTCCCTCCATATCCTTTAAAAATAGCGAGTCCACTATGTAAGATTGTATCCACTGATGTATGCGTTCAGTGGCCAATCTTGTTGCAATTTTCACGCAAATCTCTTTCACCGATGGCAGAGTGTCCTCCGCTAACAGAGATTCTACAGATTTAACGACACGCGCATCGCAGATCGCCGATGTAGACGATTCGCATTTTTCTTTTAGCTCCTTGGACATGCTTGTGGCCAATGCATTCATTTCATCCGCCACAGCCGCCTGTTGATGGTGAACAGTAGTATTATTGATAGACGAAGCAATACATGTATATTGAATACGTAAAAAATTTGCACATCACCTTAAAATTTATAATTTCGGTTAACTTTTTCTCGGTTTGTTTCTTTTTTAAAATCTTCCCAAAAGTACTCATATTTGCTTCTCTGGCGGTCATCAATAAAGTATTGCATATGTGTTTAACGCAAACCGAGGCAACTCTCTCCGATACAAAGTCAATGGTTTTCCACGTAGACGCTGGTTGCCCGTGAAAAAATGCTTTTTCTAGTTGCAACTATTGATACGTTGAAAATATAATATTGTTTCTGAACTGATTCATATAATCGATGTACTCACCTCTAAATGCCTTACACCCGCACCTCTAGTGGACTTCAATAGTTGACTAGAAACGGGAGTAATATGCTTGTTTGAATTGTAATTCTTTGCGTTTGCCTTGGTGCTTGTTATCGTACTTTGCCCAACCGTGGGGCAACATATACGCATTGTTCTGTCATTAATAATATCTATTTTATCCAAATTGCATTTGGTAGACGCCACAGGAACTATCGAATCTCCTAACAATGCATTTTTGTGCACATAGTGTTTGTCGAGTTGCTTCAGATTCTTTAATTCCTCGACTTTGTAAGTCTTTTGCCAAGACGAGTAGAATTCCTTCGGAAAATTTGGCAAGTCGAACAACCAACTTAAAGTAGATTTCAGGAGTATCGCCGTTTGTCTAGACATAGCACTATTCGAGACCTTAAAATCAGAATTATTCACAGCTTTGTAAATGTAATACAGCAACTCCAACACATGCTTATAATATGGTAATCTCAGAGACACGGTATCCAACATAGCCAAGTATTTTGCTATCCAAGGTATAGTTAATGATAGTTTTCCTAGTACTATTGCATTGTGAAGGCAAAGATGTAGATTTATCGTTGGTAACACCTAGACAAAACACATACATATTATTAGTTTTAATTGTTAATAATAGCATAAACATATTATATTGAAAAGATACAGTTTTATGATCAAGACATTGGTTAGACGAGGATTGAACTTGATGTTACATCGAGTACAGATCTTACCTTACTCCTTACTTCTACTTGGGTTATTAAATCTTTACAATTATTCGACTTTGATTTATATGGTATGGACACAACAAGTCCTAACATTTTCGCGAGAAGTCGTAAACTGGATAAGCAGGTAGTAAAATTTTGTTGCGTTTGTTCGTCGACCATTGTTTCTATTACAAATAAATCATATACAGTTATTAAAGGGCATGGTTTATCGGTACATCGATAATTTAAAAACGTGTCATTACCTGAATCTTCTATTTCACTGCCACTAAACTGAGTATCATTCAATTCCATTATTTCATGAATCAAACAATTTTCTAGGTGAACATAAAAAATCGGATTAAAAGCAAACAAAATAAAATCTTTAAAAAATTCTTGAACTCCTGGGAATGATGGCTCCATATTTTGATTGTTCGAAGGCTGCGGAGTTACTAAACGTTTCTGAAGTTGATTTAATTTCTGAGGATTTACAGATGTTAAAGCTTTCAGAAAACTTAAACTTTTGTCGTCTTCTGCCTCTGACTACAAGAAAATAGGATAAAATTAACTGAGAAAATTATCTATATTTTATGAACGATAGAAACATTTATATGTACCTGTAGCATTTTCTGTACACAAGAAATTAAAAGCTGAGATTTGAACAATCTTGCAAAATGATAATAATTTATAGCATCATTATGCATCGTCAGGATACTTCTTATTTTACTTCCCAGAGCTATCTGAAATGTCCATCCTGGCACAGAATGATTTTCCTCCCATATTCTAAATGTATCATAGAATCCATCTCTTTGTTTTTTGAATGATTGAAATGCGATTACAGATGGAAAGTTTTCACGATTATCTGTATCTATTTGAAAACACACATTTAATTCCCCCATCGTTCCTGATAAGCTGGAAAAAAATAAAATATATTTTTTAAACATAAAAGCATATTTATACAAATATTATGATCACATTTTTATTCAATTTTGTTGATACATATCTGTTTCATCCAAAATGATTTCCTTTGAAATTCAAAATTGTGTTCAATAAAAATAGAACATTAGAAACAAGTTTATGATATAAACTGATATCCTCATTAACAAAATAGCCTTTTTTTAAAAGAGAAATAACATTTCGTAATTCATGTAAATATCAACATATTGTGCTCAAATACGTGCATAATATTTGTTAGAGCCACTTTTCTTAACAATTTATTTGATTTGCAAATATATATTCTTTCATTAAAATTATTAACATACTTGTTTTGCTCAAATTGTCAAATACATGACGTTGGTATCGACAGATGTAAAAAATTTGTAGGTTATATTTACAATGGGTAATGTAATTATTTAATAATAAAATAAAACTTGCACGATATTAATAAGGGCAATTACAAATTTTTGACCGGAAATTATTTTAATTGTAGTAAAATGTCGACTGTCTAGTCTTCGTTAAAGAAAAACGTTAATTATTCGAATTTCGATTATCCAAAGAACCGATTATCGGAACAGAACGAGTGACATTATAGGACCATGAATCCTACAGCACTGTGTAACAGTGTTTACATCGGGTAAAATAAAATTTGGATACGGGATCTAACAAATATTACACTAGGAATAATTATAAAAAAATATACTATCAAAATGAGAAAAATTAAATATTCTTGAAACAAAGTAGTTGGAAAGTCTGTCATTATCACAGTTACCAATAACAAATTCAAACTATTTTAATTTTCAAATTCAGTAACCAAACTAATATTTCATGAGGGGATTTAAAAAATAATACACGGAATTCTTTGCTTTAAACAATTTGAATATTTATAATATACATATATTTATTTTCCTTCATCATATAAATGTGAACTTAGATATAATATATCAAAATATAAATTATCTCTAAGGAATAGAAAGAGTAGTTATTTTGAATAACTCTTAGTCCCTGAAATTACTAATTATCCTTGAGAGTCAACGAGAGGATAGCAGGCAGTAGAAGAGATACCACAGTTGTTCATTTTGTTTCTAGCCATTTTGATGTAACCTTTATCACCCCACGTTGTTCCCCAACTGTTCTTTACCAGCCAGTAATCTGTACCGGATTCATCAGTACCATATCCTACCACTAATACTCCATGATCCAAATCTACCGAAGAACACTGTGGTTCATAGTAGATTCCTATATTGAAACAAAACGATTACAGTATAAATTAATAACAAGCACTTTGAAATAATATTCTTACTAATCGGTAAACTGACCTTCGGAATAGAACTGGAAGCTTTCGTGCGAAGCATCGATAGCAACAGAAATTGGTCCTACAGTAGCAACAGCTGCTTTCAATTTATCTTCATCATTTTCGGGAATCTCTACGAAACCAACATCAGAAGCTCCACTGTCTTTTGGATTATATCTAGAATTAATACAGTATTATATAAAAAATAAAAACAAATGAATATTTCATTCAAGATATTTGCATAGTTAACATGTATTATTGTGCATAATGATTACCTGCATTTGTCGTTTTCTTCTTCATACGGGTACGAGTTCTCCGTATCGATACCATGATTATCTTTAACATATTTGAATGCTGCAGTCATCATTCCACCATTGCATCCATTGTTACCGTATTTTCCGCTGCAATCCACTAAATTTTGTTCGCTTAAAGAAACTAAAACTCCTTTAGCTCGGAAATGTTGTGCTTCCAGAGCTCCAGTCTGCAATTAAAATTTATTATAAGAATTAAAAGCAAGCAATACAGCTTGTGTTGCAGCTATTACCGCCACAATTAAAAGTAGTAAAACTTTCATAGTTCTAAATTTTGCGCCTGTAAAAGTACATACACAATATTAATTTCTAACTTTATATAATAATTAGTTTTTTTATAACATTATAAACAAATGCGACCTTCAAATCTTCGACGTAGAAAAATAATAAATGAAGTAGGCGTTCAACAAGATCTAAATGATATATCTCATGCATACGAAAATAATATATTCAACTTGAGTGACAAAGTGAACAGTGTCAGTGGTATTATCGAATACGCAATTACAAAAAAAATGGTCAAGATGTTATATTTTCTAAATCATATGTATAACTAAAAATGACGAGAAATATTTTTAATTTTTCCTTACAAAAAGAACAATAATCGACTGTTCCATTCAATTTATTATCAGCAGTAATTAATGTGACTTAACATAATTAAATTATATAATATATGACGAGGATAATTATTCTTCGGTAATATAACTTACTGATGAGAATGCCCAACACGAACCACAGTGACCTTGGTCTTTAACTGGAGTAACAGCCCCATAATTCCTCCAATCTACAGTATCTGGCATTTGTACATTTGCTGGTTCAAGAAACATGGCTCCGGTAAATTTTGGTCGATTTACATCATTTGCAGACCTGTTAAAACCATTTAATACTTGGACAAATTCATGATGAAGCTAAAAACACGATATAAAATATATTAAAAGTATAATGAATGTACATACATAAATTATACAAACATTACTTACCATGTCTCCATACTTGTTCATCTTTAATTTAAAGGATACATTTTTCTTTTCGTAATTACTGTTATGTTTAGCAATTTTATGTTTATTATCCATGTATATCTTCATTCTAAACTTCTCTTCTATTTCAGAGTTGTATGTTTTAGAATGTTCCAACTGCAAATAATTAATACACATCTATATTAAAATACATGTCATTTTTTACATTTAATTTATTCAATTATAAGTAAACAATAACAATTATAAGTAAAATATTTAATTTTTAATACCAATGAACAACATTTATTTGCTTTACGAAATCGGTTTATGTACGAACATAAAACTTCTAGTGTTTGACACAAGATAAGCATGACAGAACTTTATCATTGTCACATTGTAAATGATTTATGTACCTTAAACGAAGTCCATTCTTCTTTAACAACTTCATAAAAAGATACAGCTTGTGCTGCAGCTATTACCGCCACAATTAAAAGTAGTAAAACTTTCATAGTTCTAAATTTTGCGCCTGTAAAAGTACATACACAATATTAATTTCTAACTTTATATAATAATTAGTTTTTTTATAACATTATAAACAAATGCGACCTTCAAATCTTCGACGTAGAAAAATAATAAATGAAGTAGGCGTTCAACAAGATCTAAATGATATATCTCATGCATACGAAAATAATATATTCAACTTGAGTGACAAAGTGAACAGTGTCAGTGGTATTATCGAATACGCAATTACAAAAAAAATGGTCAAGATGTTATATTTTCTAAATCATATGTATAACTAAAAATGACGAGAAATATTTTTAATTTTTCCTTACAAAAAGAACAATAATCGACTGTTCCATTCAATTTATTATCAGCAGTAATTAATGTGACTTAACATAATTAAATTATATAATATATGACGAGGATAATTATTCTTCGGTAATATAACTTACTGATGAGAATGCCCAACACGAACCACAGTGACCTTGGTCTTTAACTGGAGTAACAGCCCCATAATTCCTCCAATCTACAGTATCTGGCATTTGTACATTTGCTGGTTCAAGAAACATGGCTCCGGTAAATTTTGGTCGATTTACATCATTTGCAGACCTGTTAAAACCATTTAATACTTGGACAAATTCATGATGAAGCTAAAAACACGATATAAAATATATTAAAAGTATAATGAATGTACATACATAAATTATACAAACATTACTTACCATGTCTCCATACTTGTTCATCTTTAATTTAAAGGATACATTTTTCTTTTCGTAATTACTGTTATGTTTAGCAATTTTATGTTTATTATCCATGTATATCTTCATTCTAAACTTCTCTTCTATTTCAGAGTTGTATGTTTTAGAATGTTCCAACTGCAAATAATTAATACACATCTATATTAAAATACATGTCATTTTTTACATTTAATTTATTCAATTATAAGTAAACAATAACAATTATAAGTAAAATATTTAATTTTTAATACCAATGAACAACATTTATTTGCTTTACGAAATCGGTTTATGTACGAACATAAAACTTCTAGTGTTTGACACAAGATAAGCATGACAGAACTTTATCATTGTCACATTGTAAATGATTTATGTACCTTAAACGAAGTCCATTCTTCTTTAACAACTTCATAAAAAGATACAGCTTGTGCTGTGGCTATTACCGCCACAATTAAAAGTAGTAAAACTTTCATAGTTCTAAATTTTGCGCCTGTAAAAGTACATACACAATATTAATTTCTAACTTTATATAATAATTAGTTTTTTTATAACATTATAAACAAACGCGACCTTCAAATCTTCGACGTAGAAAAATAATAAATGAAGTAGGCGTTCGACAAGATCTAAATGATATATCTCATGCATACGAAAATAATATATTCAACTTGAGTGACAAAGTGAACAGTGCTAGTGGTATTATCGAATACGCAATTACAAAAAAAATGGTCAAGACGTTATATTTTTTAAATTATATGTATAACTAAAAATGATGAGAAATATTTTTAATTTAAGAACAATAATCGACTGTTCCATTCAATTAGAAATATTTAATGCATCTACACAAAAAGGTGATATAACGCAGTAGATTACCGAACAAAGAAGTTAATAATGTCTTCAGCTGACGACATTAATCTGTGACTCTACTTGATCGTCGACAAAGTAACGTCAATTGACTTCTGTTTTGATAAAAAAAAAAAAACATCGAACCGCTTCGTATCTGTTCTTCTACAATGGTAAACATATCTCTACATGTTCTGACGACCTCGAAATGCTTCGTTGAGTGAAAGCAAGAGTGTGGATTTCCTTCATAAAGAAAAAGATATATTTAAGAAGGAAAAATTTGATGGCTACCGGATATGTATAGCGAAGCAGCAGGATGTTTAGAACGGTGATTGTCAGCTTTGTAGAGTTATATCAAACAATTTAGAGAACACTGAAGGAATAGAAAACAATTATTTGAAATGTTTCGATGTAATTACCAGCAACAACAACAAAATAATCGTTATTACTTACAAAGACTGGACAGGTTAGTGGATGTCTCTCAAAAATCAAACCAGGCCTATAATGTAAATATTTTGAGCCACTTCAAACGTCGGATTTCTATTAACGACTAACGAGACGTTCTTTCTTCTCTACATATACACATTCTATTCCTACCCCTTCTACATATTCTATTCCCACCCCTTCAGCTGCCTTCAATACTACGTGATTCATCGTCGCGTGCTATTGTATACCACAGACCACAGCGTCTCCCAACTTCAGTTCCTGTCACTAAATTTCAACAAAGAAATTCTCAACGAAAGGAATATAATCATCTGTTATTGCAATAAAGATTTGAGCATTGTTATGATTTTGTACACTTGTAAAAATGCACTTGTATTAATGATCGAATGTTGCACTGACGGAATCTCCTGCACTATGAAGTTACATTCCATTACTAATCGTTATCTATCATCCGATGATCATTTTTCGATTGAAAGAATCAGCTATAATTTTTTGATATTGTGATTAACGCTTAATATTTGAAATCCGCGATTGATGATCTACGTTCAAGATTTATATAATTTATATTATATTATTATATATATTTATTTGAAGATTAATAATAAATTGATGAATTGGGAGACACTGACGTAGTAGTATGTATGTCTCATTCATATCTTTTATCTTCGCATGTGTTTCTGGTATTTTGTTACTCGATTTATATTTGATTATATATTATAGTTGTCATGTGATTTTGATAAACGCTTTAGTAATCGAAGATGTCGTCTTATCTCAACCAGTGTGCATATATATACTTCTAAATTGCGTTCTAATCTTTCGATTTTAAATTCTCCTTGTTCCATATATTTAAGTACATAGGTCATTTCCTGCTTTAATCTCCGAATGATTCGTTTAAATATTATATTTTTGTTCAATCTTAGATTTCTTGATTTTGATATTATTGATAGTGATTGATTTTGATTTATTGATATCTGTAAAAATAATTTCAGTTTTGATGAATTATTCGTTATCACCTGTAATCATTAGAAATGTTTTTTTTTAATTAAACAAACGTTAAAATAAAAAATGTATTATCAAGAAAATTGAATCATTCAGAATTTTTAATTGTATAGACATGCTTTCCAACTGAGATCACGATGCTGATGTTACATTTTTGATATATGATATTTGGTATCCAATTACTCTGATTGAATCACATGAGGAAAATATTCAACTTTATAGGTTGCGAACTTAATAATGATAATATTTAACAAATTTCAAATGCCAGCCATTTTGGAATGGCTTGAACTTGCTTACAGTTACAGAGACATAATTTCTATTGGAACTCGAAACCTTTGTTATTTGTGACATTGTGACAGACAGCGTTGATATGAATGATATATGAATGCGCGGTAATATTTGAAATATAGTACGGTGTAAAATAAAGGATATTCGACGCGTCTCTTAAATACTCTACAATCTTTTATACAATTCTCTAACAGATCTCCAACAATTATAGAACATCATTTTGAGAATTTGTTGATTGTATTCAGTGAGGTATTCTGTCCCTGAGATATGCAAGTATCTCTTCTGTTGACCTGGCCAAAATTGCTTGTCGCGGTTGTTTAAAACAATTTCCGGATAATGACAAGGTTCTGTAGAAAAGAATATCTGTTTTTATCACTTTTTGGAGATATGACATTTATTTATTGTAACTTACCTTATATTCTTTAAATTACCAAGTTCAGGTGGCACATATCCAATATTATTATTAGCTAAATCTAACACCGCAAGTTTTTGCAACTTTCCTAAAGATGACACGTTAATGTCAATTATTCCATTGTTATTTGCTATAAATATTTCCAATGGCTCAATGTCATAAACGGATTGTGGAATTTCTTTGTACCTATGTTATATATTTTTATATAAATATTTATAAACCATTTACAGTCATTCAAATGTATACTGTACCTGTTAAACGAAATATTAATTTCTCGCAAATATTTTAATAAACCAAGGCTGGAAGGAAGTGATTCCAACAAATTTTTACTTAAATCCAAATTTTGCAAGTACTTATATTTTTCGCAAATCCATTCTGGTATATTTGTTAACTGATTAGATGTTAATTTTAAATCACCAACTCTTGCAATTATAGATAATTGATCAGGTAAAACAGACAACATATTTCTGCTCAGATCCACTGTGCTCACATCGGCTTCACATGCGTTCTCTAAAACATCTTGCGGCAACTCATTGAGGTTTTGTCCAGCCAAGCTAAGCAATTTTGTACTTTGCATAGTATATCTAAGATGTTACAGATAGTTAAAAAATTATTTACTATTAATACTTTAACACTTTACAACAAACATTTCCGTAACACATACTTATCTGGATAAATATTTGCGCTGACATCTCCTACCATATATTCTTTTGTACTTAGATTTGTACTGTCGATACTTTGTCGTATATGCTTTAAAATGCGAGGTGTACCGCATCGTATTATATCCGCTCTTATATTTTGTACATTATTTCCTTCGATCGCAAGTTGTTTTAAATTTGGCAATATACCAACATAATTTGGTACTCTATAAAACAATGATTTCTTTAAAAAGTTCGATTACATATAACGGTAATACACATGCGAAGAAACGTACATAGTTAGCTTATTGTAGGATAAATCTAGAATTTCCAAATTTACCAACTTTATTATTTCTTCTGGCATCGAATCAATATTATTATTCCCTAAAGTTAATGTTCTTAATTTGCCTACACCTTCCAAACACAACATGTCGATTTCCTAAAAATAATAAAAATGAGCATAGCAAACTCTTTATAATAATTATCAATACATACTGTAATGTTATTATTAGCCAAGTGCAGTGTTCTGAGCATTGTACAACCAGATAGATCAGGAAACGTTGTCAACTTGTTTATTTGCAACATCAATGTTTGTAGTTTCCTTAATTCACCCAGAGGTGGTAATGTTTCCAACTCGTTATTACTTGCATCCAATTGTAGTAATGCTAATTTCAAAGGAGCATGTAGTATTTTACAAAAAAAAAAGAACGTTTTAAGAAAGGGAAATCTTACCTCTCATATTTGTTAAATCAGGTGGTAATTCTTTCAATATATTATGACTTATATCCAAACAAGTTAATCTTACTAAATATCCCATTCCCACTGGCAATTCGGATAATCTGTTGCATGACAAATCCTACATACAAAATATTTTTTAGATTTGCTAATTGAATCGATTATTTTTCATGCAAAATCAATATTACAATTTACCAAGTGAGATAACATTATTAAGTCCCCAATTGCAGGATCAAGGTCTATTAAGGAATTGTTCTTTAAGGATAGTTCTTGTACTTCGCTTAATTTATAGAATTCATGAGGCAGTTTTTCTATCTTATTGTTTGATAAATTCAGTATTTTTAATTTATTTAAACTTCCAATTTCTGGTGGCAAATCTTCTAACGAGTTGTTGTGTAACTAAAATCATAAGATTTTAGTAGGTAAAAATCTATTGGTATATAGATACTATCTATATTATAATTACATTTAAAACATTTCCAATGCTTACAAGTAATGTTGTCAATTCTGACAAACATTCTATTTTTGAAGAAATTGTAGTTAAGCTGTTATAACTTAAATCCAATGTCTTGAGTGGTTCTTGTTCCCACCATCGTTCATTTTCATGTACATAATCAAATTCAAAATGCAGCTGTTTTACCTCTTCCCTTGTTAACGCATTTATATGCCATACTCTACTAGGTACTGTAACAGAT